CCCCCCACCTTCTCCTCAAATTTGGCAGGGTATTTCTTAAACACCCTGTATACATACGCCTTAAAATGTACTGGAATATGTAACCACGAAACTTCCTTAATGGTCGGCTTACATACATTATTACAGTAGCACTCCCTCCAGCAATTTAAACCAGCGCTGTTCACTTTTTCTATAGTCTAGAAAGGCACTTAACAGAAAGTTAACGCTTGCTTTGACAAGATGTGAGTAAATCGTTACCAGGGTGACCAGATGATCAGAAAAAGCGAAACTAAATTGGTGTTGAAATAAGGTTAAAAAAAGTTACACGCAATAAAAAATTAAGTTATTATTCATTCCTTAAAAACTCTTCGCCACCACAATAAGTTTGCGGAACCGATTTTCTTTGAATAAATTTTAAGATCTGTTTCATCAAAACATAAAACAACTTCTATCAGGCTAATAATCAGAGCACACAAGTAGTACGCCAACAGATCAAATTGTGAAAAAATGCAATTCAAAGAAAATTTCTTAGGGCTATTTTCTCAATAACTTTTAAAATTTGTCTGCCTTTTCAATACATTTTTCGACAACAAAATTTGGGTCTAGTTCAAAATTACACGTTTGTCCGAAAATGCAAAAAACTATTTCTTAGCACATGCTAATCATCAGACTTTTCCTTAGGTTTTTTTCAACAAATTATAACAATAATTTGCTCCAGATTTTGCTGAAAGGTAAGTAAAAGCTGTGTACATTTTTAGCGCAAAATTTCAAAAATTCCAAATTTTGATTTGTGCCACTTTTGAAGATCGTGTGCGATATGTCCGACAAGTTTTTTTTTTGTATGGAAGGAAATAATAAAACCGTCTGAAAAAAATGCCAAAAATCAACGCGATTTTTTAGCAACTTCAAGCTTTCTCTTTGTTATACTAAAATTTAATGAGCTATAAAACTGAATGCTTAGAATTTTTCTAAAAAATCTGATTAGAAAAATGCAAATTAGTACGCAAATTTATAGAATTTTCCTGAATTTTGGAAAAAGTGTAGAGATTTTATTGTTAAATTTT